CTCTCTCTCTCTCTCTCTCTCTCTCTCTCTCTCTCTCTCTCTCTCTCTCTCTCTCCCCCTCCCTCTCTCTCACTCCCTCTTTCTTCTTTCGTATCCCTTCATCTGTCAAATTTTACCATTGTCTTCCCTCACTTTTTATCTCTTTGACAGTGCGCCAACGATCTTAAAAGCAAATTCCTAAAAGCTTGGAGCTAAAGAACTTTTTCATCCTTGTTTATTCAATTATTTATTTTGATGTTGTTCCCCTAAGCATCCCTTGAGCATAATATTCCAAAATTATTTCTTTTTTGCTTTCTCTTCTTTTCTTCTCTTTCAGAATTATGAATGTCATCCTACTTTCACGAATGATAACATGTTAGATATTTGCGTCTCATATATTTGTTTGCAAATTAACAAAAATTCATCTATATCATTTAGTTTGCAAAGTTGTAAATTTATTATCTATGAATCTTATTTCAAATGTATTCACATATGAAAAATGAATATCATAAATAAATGTAAATAATGTTTAAATGCATTTCGCTGCACTTCATATAGATGTATTTTTATTTTATCAATGAACAAAATATTTTATTTTTTCGTATACATATATATTTTTGACATTCTTTTATACTATTTCTTTTGTATATTCTCTTATACTATTTATTCACGGAACAAATCACAAATTGTGTATATCCTTATATCAAAATCATTGATTTATTATGTAATTTAAAGATTGTATACATTTTGAATACTTAAACGATAATTCGAAACACATATGTACATATTACAAAAATTAATTTACTAAAAAATTAAATTACTAGTTTCAAAATCGAATATGAAAACAATCAACACTCCAGTGAAATTTTCTATAAAATTTTTCGAAAATAATGCGAATATTTTTTACTCATATATTAATTTAATAAAATTCTAATATCATTAATAAAATCTGGATTTCGAATTTAATTTATCAATTATTACTGACTATACAATATTCTGATAATCAAAAATTGTCCTCTTTATAAAGAAGATATTGGTGATCATATTTAATATAAGAATCAAAGATAAATTTTCCGCGAATTATCGAGAATATTATTTTTATTGCAAATATATCAATCGTCCTTAAGCAATATCGAAATTAATTACATGATTCAAGCGTCTAAAAGCTATTCAAGAAGCTTATAAATCTTCTAGAGATATTTTTATAGGCTATCCGCTAAAAATTAAAAGTCTAATATTAACAGACGATGAACGTGATGTAGACGATGAAAGTTTATCTTTGCATTATAATCTCGTGAGATGAAGCTTTCAACGAGGGTAGTTGACCTTTAAAAACAACGCAGAGAATCGTGAAGCTATTAGTACATTAATTAAAGCTATAACGGTAATTTCAGTCGAGAATGACAAGAGACTTTAAGCAGCTTAAATCTAATTAAGCATCGTCATTTATGACATAAAATTAATGAGAATTAAAAAAAAATAATGCTCACTCGACATCCATAATCCTAATGCTTTTTCTTTATCACTCATTCATTTATCTAGTATGACTTATCAATTATCAATTATATAGAATTACATTAGCATGCATATCATAGCTTAGTGTTTTCCTAAAAAAAGATACTTGCTTAATATTTATTGCCATTTTGTGAAAAAAGAAAAGCATTTATAATTTATTCTAAATTTAAATCTGTTCACATTTACATCGATTATATTTTATTATTTGTTATAAACATAATATGTCTTTTTAATTTTATGACAATATTGAGAAAAGAGATTAATATTTTAATAACTGATTATAAAGAAGACATGTTATTTCTAATGGAGTACTTCACATGAAAATGCATTGGGAATAACGAATTAATCAATTATGGATTAATCGTCAATCGTCGCGAGTACACAAAAGTTGATGCAGCTGTATTCAATGTCGATTAGTGATGACGTTGCTTAATTACGATAATTAACAATAAGTTGATAGAAGTATAATTAAAGATTCTCTTTAGCTAAAAGATATAAATACAGATTAATTATTCAAATTTAGACAAATTTGATAAAAACAAGTCGAGGAAGATGCATAAATAAATCGGTCATTTTTTATTTGTGAACTTAGAAAGACCGATAATCTTAAAAGGAAAGCTTCAAGCAAGCATCGTTCATCTCTCATCATTCATTCGTTTACTTGCCTTCATCGTCTCCGCACGCTGCAAACTGTGTGCAATGATAATCAATGCAAAGCGTTTATTTACGCTTCCTGTGCTATGATATTATATTTATAGCGTTCCTCGCGTGTAATCGTAATATATCTAATAAGAATAAAGACGCGAGGCTACGATAGCGTTTTCGCGCGAGGGAAACTCGCGGCTGTGATTAAAGGGAAAATAGGAAGATTGAAGATGAGATCGAAGGGCGCGATCGAAGGGGAACGTGAGGGATCCGGGAAACATCGCGCTGGATATCGGCGAATTGGTGGTTAACCGATTATCCATCGGCCACCGTCTGCCGGCAACTTACGCCGCGCCCTTCCGACCAAACGAATCGCCGTAGAGCCCGGGAGAGTCGTTGAGTCGTCGTGATATATCTACGTTTATACGACGTACATTAGACATGAATGGCATCTGTTCTGCCAAGTTGAATGAGAGCAATTTAACTTCTTTAGGCTGCTTAATCGGTAGGAAGTCACATCCAGTCACATAGCGGTATATACCGGTAAGAGGCACCAATACGCGCAGGTTCGCATGTCGTCTCCTCGAGCAAGAGAGAGAGAGAGA